CTATATACTAAACAAACAGAATATTATTTTTGTATAACAATCAACATACCCCCTCAAAAATATATGAGTATATGAGTATTACAGCTTAAGGCTTACGGGAAAGTTTAACAACTAATGATCCAACATTTATTGCAAGGGTTAGGGAAAACCCCACAAAAACCTAACCAGATCATGAATACTTAAAAATGAATAAATAACAATTCTTAATGCTAATTAGCAAGTTAAATTTAAAACAAAAAAAATCTTGCTTCTTATTTCTCTTGCATTCCCATCTTTTCTCTCAGTATCTTGAACTCCTGTGGTGGCAACGATTTTGTCAATAGATCGGCTTCTTGATTACCTGTGGACAAATATTTTAATCAGACAATGTTCTCTATTTGCTCTCGTGTGAAATGGTATTTAATGCCGATATGTTTAGAACGTTTATGATTTACTGGATTATTTGCCATTGCTATACAACTTTGATTATCTTCATATAATATTATTGGTTTAAACATATTGACATTAATACTAACTAACAAAGATTTAAGCCATATAGCTTCTTTTACAGCCTCAAACACAGCCATGTATTCTGCCTCAGTTGATGAGGTAGCAACTGAGTTTTGTCGCCGTGTAATCCAAGTTACTGTACAATTATCAAAGAGTTTAAATAAACCTGTTGTACTTCGGCGATCTACATCATTATTTGCCCAATCAGCATCAACATACCCTACTAATGTTTGTTCGTAATTATCAATACGCTTCTACAGTGGCGGCTCGTGGTAATTTGAAATAGGTGTTCACTTTTTCCAATAATTTGATCATTTTTGTAAGTTCGGCCCAAAACTTTGTACAAGAGCCAATATCGCTGTTTTTATTAATATTTGAGTTTGTATTAAATGTAGTTATTATCAACATCATGCTATTTTCAAGCACTATAACTATTAATAAATGAATATTTTTGTTAGTGTGATATTTGTTTTGTTTTTAATACATTGAAAACCACCTATAAACATTATTAGTTAACTGACTTTTCTTCATAATTTGAGATTATTTTTAAATATATATAAGGTTATGTAGAAAGCTTGACATTGATTTTTGTGTAAAAAATATTATATGAAACTTTACCTACCATTTTTCAGTTTTTATTGTAAATTTAATCATTTTCACATTTTGTCACACGTCAAATAAAAAATATATTTTTTAAATACCTTTTAAAATAATAACTTTTATATAAAATAAGAACTAAAATGTTTTAAATGTTTATTTTATGAGATCAGTCCTATCACAATACATACTATTACACAAATACAAACTAGAATAAAGATATATAATGCCTGGCATTCTAAATGATACTTTTCGCAGTTTAACAGACTCCCTTAATTATCCATTTTCTACCAGATTGTTTTCACAATCAATAGGCCTCATCTCCTTATAGGGCTTGATTTTTACTAAAAAATGTTGATATCGCTTTTCATTTTTGAGTTTTTGTTTTTAATTTTAATTTCAATTCCCCTTAAATCCCCCATATTTAATTAGATTTTTTTAATTAAAGGTAGTGGTGGCTCGTTATATTTTAAAATATTAATTCCTCGATTAATACAGTGCAAGAAAGAAACATCAAGTTTAAATTATAGAAATAATGCAAAAACATGCTTACCTAATATAATCAGAGTCAGGTTTTTGCTCGATTCATTGGGTAGTTCAGTAGTTTAATAATAATAATAAAAGTGTTTTTTAATTTTTGCTGATAAATGAGATAATTCCCTAACACCCGTTTTTGTCCTTTCTGATTTAGTATTTTCATTGTTTGTAAAAACTAAACAAAACATGTTGTTTATCACACCCGCACAACCACGAAGTTTTTTTATATTGTTCAATCTTAAAAGTATGTTTAAACTTTCTATTTCTTATGGCACATTCTTGAACAATGTTTATCTCCGATCGAGGTGGGCCATTCTTTTTTATAAGCACTCGATTCTCAAAATTATGTCTATTTGTTTTTATAAATTTCACCAAATGACGATACGTACATAAACACTAGTAAATTCACACAGAACCTAAGACCAGTACAGCCAACCTCAAAATAACGAAAATTCGGTTCACGGAACACAAAAATCCATAAAAAGTATAATTTGTAAAGGGATCTCGTGTCTCACTGAGTGTATTCTCACTTTCTTCTTTTATATATCGATAAACAAGGATACAAATATATTCAGGTCCATATTTATAAACAGAACTCAGCTGAGTCGGAGTTGGGTAAGTCGTCCTTGAACTAAAATCAAAGTTCGGTGTTCGGTTACAACGTCTCTAAAGTTCCAAGTGGTTCCAGTGTCACACTGGAATTTAGAGATGGATATTAGCAAATCTGTAAGTGTTAAGTAGGTACATTTACGGATTACTACTCATCTCTAAATTCGCACGATATAACCGATCCCCAGGTAGACGGAATGACAGTTTGTTTGATTTGGTACAGTGTTGCCAGAATATGTTTTTGTTATGTACCAGATTTTTCGAATTCTATTTGCAGTGACATCTAATTTATTGAAGAGAAAAAAAGGGGGTTTTTATAGATAACGAACCCAAACAAGGAATACAATATATTTATATATATATATTTTATACGTGAACACTGCCTCAAGCAAAATGTACTACATCTAGTACAATTGTAAATTGTACTAGACTGGCAACACTGGTTTGGTAACCTTGTTTGTGAGCGGCGCGCCAATTAATGAGTTCTTTTGACGTTTGAAGGATATGTTGGCGTGTTGTTTTCTCTTTTTAACTTTATGCATTCATCAAATCGTCTCACTCGTGTTAGGCTCACTCATCATAATGCGCCACAGACACAGTATACTTAGGTATTCTATGTCACAGAGACGCGATCAGCCATAGGGCAATGATGTACCAAAAAATATAGATTAACACGTATGAAAATAAAAATATTAAAATTAAATTTATATTTTTGTTATTTATGTAATTTTAAAATAAGTGTTTTTATAAAATTTAACTGGGTGTTCACTGCACAAATGAACCAATGGAGAAACCGCCCCTGCGCTTCTATACCAATTTTATGTTTATCGTTCCTTTTACATATCTTAATACCCGTTTTAAACATAACTATAGTTCTTTATTACATTTAGTTTGATATCTACTCAAAATGTTTACTGCTGTACACAAATCTGGACATGTACAGAGCATTGCGTACATTAAACAGCCAATTAAATTTCGACAAGGTGCATCATAATTATCATCTGAATTTAATGCAGCATAATTTAATTTTACGGGCAGTGGTGTACTGACGGGGTTGCTTTCACTCATATTAAATTTGTGCAATATTGATTTTAAATATGTGGTCTGATCAAGTGAAATTTCAGAATTTGATTTATTTATTCTTATGCCTAGAAAATATTTTATTTCTTTTAAATCAATCATTTCAAATTGTTCCATTAAAAAGTTCTTAAAATTATTCATTGTAATTATATCTTTAATTTGCAATTGAACAAACGATCCTGAACACATAATTGTGTGGATACCTTTTTACATGCATACAAACCATCAAACTTTTCGAGAATTTCCCGAGCCGTAGCACGACCTGGCGTTAATTGTGATAGTATTATATCATCTAGATATTCAATTAATGTGCCTCTCGCAAATCGATCCCATTTTATCCATTTTTCAGTAAGTGATGTTGGTGGGTCTTCATTTAGCACTTTACTAGCATCTTGTTGTTCAATTATTTCAGACAGTCTAAACTTATACATTAAATAATGTTCACCATTAAACAATTTTAAATTTCGCTTCATCACAGTTAACACGCCACTGCCCATTGTTTAAATTTTGCACGGTGTAAACTTAAAACTATCTAAATTATTTTTTCACTCGCGATTACGTGACTGGGCCCATAACCTGTTGGAAGGTATGGTAGGTCCTTATATTAAACACACAGTGAATATCCTTTTTATAGTTAATTTATTAAGAGAACCGTAATTATAATGATGCTTAGTCGATTGCTATTATATAACTAATCTTTACTGGATGTTATTGGTTTCAATCGGTCTTAAAAATACACATATATATATTGTTGACAGTAATATGAAGAATAACTGACTCAGCTTGCTAGAAGGCCATTCTCCATATACTAAACAAACAGAATATTATTTTTGTATAACAACCAACAAAAACAAAATAAAAAATTGTATAAATTTATTATTAAAAAGCTTTTGAAATTAAGTACCAATATCATACAAGTAGAGATAGGTATTAATAATATAGCTATATCACAAGGTAACACAATTACACATGTGTGATACCCTAAAAGATTGAAAAATTGGACAAAAGTAGATATAAAGGGTATATATATATATATATATATATATATATATATATATATATATATATATATATATATATATATATATATATATATATATATATATATATATATATATATATATATATAAGTAATATCTCAAACACTGAACGATTGCACGAAAGAGTATAATAAGGTACCCATATTGCAAAGGTTCACTAGTAGCTAAAATGGTGAACAATTATTGTACAAAAGTAGTAAAAAATATATTTATATAAGGTATATTACAAAGGTCACTAGATTTTAATTAAGATGCGAGTTATACGATACTACAAAAAGATATTTACCTACAAGTGGTACTAATCATAGTTTTTATATAAATGTGAACTTAATTGATAGTTTCTTCTGCGTGAAAAATAACTGCAGGCAATAATAGTATATTACATAACAAGAGTAGTAAGAAGCTAATTACATGCGAGTAGCGCATTACTCATCAACCAGAATATAGGATGCTTTCTGGAGTAATAACAGAACAAGAGTAAACTTGGTATTCGTATCGAACTATGGAATATTTAGAAACCATACTTTGAACTGAAGACTGACAAAACAAGTTTTTTAATTTTTAATTACGTGAATATTTTCTTTGATTCCAGTCCTTTTTTTGGTTTTTTTTGTGATGTTACTAATTTTATTAATTTAATTATTGCAGGTTTTTCCGCATGCATCACTGCGATTATTCTTTTGGCAATCTTCGACAAGTCTTCTGCCAAATGCACTTTCTACGATACTTGCTATACAGACGACAGAGGATACGATAAATATTGCATTGCTCGTAATGGTTTGGCGTACGGGATAGATCCTCGGCCATTAAATAGCTCAGATGTCGATTACGAACCAGCTGTCAAAGCTTTGAAGGATTACTGTCCGTATTTTCTCAATAAAGATGATTGTAAGTATAATTTTTCTATCAATAATAAAAATATTGTCAATTAATCATCCGAAAGATGCCCTGGGGGCTTATTCTCTAACGTACGTTTTTGAAAGCGCTTAGCGGGTCCCTCTAGAAACGCGACAAACAGCTCACAAAAGCGTATAGCACGAACGTTTCGGTATTCTCTACTTGCTGTGCCGTGCGCATTTGGAAAACGTAAAGCACTTTTACAAAAGTTACAGATGCGCAGCGTTTTGCTGTTCGCACTTTAAGTTTTGACATGTAAGACTAAGATTTGTGGACGTAGATAAGCCAAATACTTAAAATATGGACTTAAATATTAATATATATCAAAATGTTACTCAAAACATCGAAGATGGTGAAAATCGTGAGATCCGACGCTACTATAACCCGGAGAATGCTTTCGAACTTTGCGAAAGGATGATGTGACTAACTTAGCGGCTCTCATTGAACCCTTAGTGCCGAATCCACAAATAAACACTGCATTGACTGTAAATAGAAAAGTGAGTACTCAGATTTTAATAATAGAATGTGAGTACTCAGATTTTAATAATTTAGATGATATAAAATATTATTAACTTTGAAATTTCTTATATTTTAGTTATAAGAAGCAGTGGCGGCTCGTGGACACTAGCGGCAGTGGGGCACACACTGGAAATAAATCCCGGGATTAGTTTTTCTCTTAGGAAAACAAGTTCTCCGCTTAATGAAAATTAAATATATTTGAAAACAAATTAAATATTACAAAATTGAAGACTAACTGCTAGGTACCGCTGCAGTTGTATACTATTTCTTATAGTTGAAGTCCATTCTTCTGGATTTTTGGCTAGCGAAGTGATCGATGACCAGATTATTAAAATTTGGAATGGACTGAATAAGTTTTTTTTTGATGGGTAACATGGCTAACGCGCACAATCTATCTTGGCACATAGTGTTCCTTAAAAATGTTTTAATACGTTTTAGTGTCGAAAAACATCTTTCACTCTCCACTGTGGTCATGGGAATTGTACACAGGATAGTTAGCAGCTCCACAGATTCCGAAAATGTAATTGTCAAATTGTTCTCAAAAAACATTTGTAATAACGGTACGGCCCCTTGTGTTGCACAAAGTCATCTCGGCTATTTACGTTTGAAAATAAACTACACACATTTTTAACGTCCTCATTTGGAAAACAACTTCGATAGTCTTTAAATTTTTCACTATCAAATAAACTTGCAATTTTTAGGTGGGTAGTAAAACTAAAACGTTTATTTACCTGCACTACTATTGTTTCACAAATTTCCTTACCTATCCTTAAATTAGGAATGGGGTCCTCCTTTTCAACAAACCGTCTCTTTTTGCTTGTACTTGGACCTGATTGGGTGTTGTCGTTTAAGTTTAGTTCTTGTGGGTCTTGGTATTATTTTGCTGAAAAAAAAATAACCAGAAACTAAACTCTGTCTTTCAAAATGTATCAACCCTTTAGTCTGATTAATAGTTTTTTTATTGAATTCTGTGTTCATAATTTCTTCGAGACATTTAATCAAATCCTTTTTATAGACAAATAGTATTGATACACTTCGATGTAAAATTCCATCATGTAGGAGCATTTTAAGGCATACGACTCTGAAGAAAAGGTGTTTGGCAATTTAAAATCTTCCAGCGAAAAATATCTCTTTTATATTTTCAAATTAGAAAAAATATTTATAACTCTTTTTGATAGTTTGTCAACTAAGCCAGGAATTTTTAACGCATACCTTTTTGAGATGAGCAAAATAGAATTTGGTCATCCTTGCCAACAATTTGCGAAAATGTACACCATTAAATTATTTATAAGACTTAGAATTTTTTATACTCTTAAATATGCAGAGATTTGAAATCCTCGAAAAAGTCAGACAAAACCAAAAGAAAAATTAAAATTTTGTCCCATTTATAAATATTATAAAAAAAAGTTATTTTTCTTTGTAGTTTTATTTCTTAACTATTCCAATGGTCCAACTAACGTTTTTTCGTAATCACAATAAATAAATTATTACCATGGTCCAACAAACGCGCATTGCCTTTGTGAGGGAGCCGCTGCGTACATTCGTTATATCTGGTCTAGGTAATCTGTCCCATGGCTACAACACGTCACGATGAGGAAGATCAGCGCCCTGCTTGTGACGTATAATCCTTCGCATGTGTTTATCTCTTGCTAAGCGATATTGTCGTTGTCCTTGGTTTTCGCATCATAATGAGAGAGAAAACAACAGAGGCACACATTTACTTGTGCCCTGTGTACATCTTAATTTTGGAATTCTCGGAACGTCGCTCAACGCTCGGTCGTCCAGTGTCGTGCCAACGCGGTTTGCGCTAAATATTAGATAAAATAATAATAGGCATTGAGGAAAATATAAAATATGTAAGTTTTTTTTGTTTGTTTATTATACTAGGACACGTGCCCTTACGGACAAACCGCCACTGAAGCACTCCGCTTTATGGCAGTTGGATATTGGCAAAAACTTTCAGATTTTTTATTTCCTCCATCTCTCCTTGTCCACCACCCGTTTTTATATGGGATTTTTATTGTTTCTAGATTTTTTGCTTTGGTTCTGGATTTAATGTCATTCCAAGACTAAAAGCAAAGAATACGTTAATGTCGTTATATCGTGACAATAGGTAATATTATATACATAATATTTATGAACTTAAAAGTTCGTTCATAATATTTTTTAATCTTGTTATTATTAAAACTAATTAAAATGAGCTTGTACTTTCTCTAGCTGCAAGTGTTAGGTGTTAATAATAATTTATTTATACAATATATTTATTTTTATATTGCCATTAATTAATTAATATTATTACAGACAATAATACATACCTTTCTCCTATATTTCCAGTCTTTGATTACTCCGGGGATAGCATTTAATTTCTCTGTCAAGTCCTCCCACATTTTTAGGAGTCAGCAGCTGTATGCTGATTATTATGTTTTTAGTTTTTTATAATATTGGGATTTGCCTCAATATACTCCAGTAGGGCTTGCTTTTGGGCCCTCATTTTTAATGATGAATTAAGTTTTAATTATATTATTGTCAAAATGACATTCAAATATTAACCTTAGTTATTCAGACCAATCAACATTTTCGATTTATAATTCTGACAGCTTACGACAAAAATGAAAATCACTTCCGAATAGCAAAAGCGTCTAGCATTAGAGTTAGAAAATACCTTAATCGCATGCTTGTCGTTTTGGTAATCGAACTTTGTTGAGAAGTCTGCTTGGCGCTTTCGTTGCTATACGTTTTCGGCTGAAAGTTAGAGAATAACCCCCTGGAGCGCTACGGCAAGTAATAATAATAGCCGTCATTTCCTGAAGAGCTGGTTTCTTTCTAAACTTGATTGGTTCACTATTATTGTTGTTATTACTATTATAAAATGATTTTTTTTTTAATTTTTAGCTCCCAAAGAGTTATGCTGTTCTATAAAGCAGATCATGGACATGGCTGATGGATTTGCTAATCTTGTACCGTTCAAGAGATGTTCAACTTGCGCGATCAATATACAAAACATATTTTGTCAATTTACCTGCAGTCCCGACCAATGGGATATGGTTGCAAAGCATAATTCGAAATTCAATATTCTACATTGTAAGTTCTTAATATTCAATTACTACATTATATTCCAGTTCGAATGGTACTGGGTCTTCAACAATACCGAAAACCCACGTGACCAAATCGTCATGACAGCGATTGGTGAAAATAAAAGTAAAAATCCCTAAATTTGAGCCAGTGCCGTAGATCTTCTTTTTTTATGGTCTGCAACTACGAGAACAAAATTCAGTTAGGTAACTGTTAGAATTACAACACAAAATCATAATATTAATTAGAGGTGCTTTACATTATTGTATTTTAATGTTAGAATTCGATATTTTAATTAGATTTAATCAAATTCAATAATCTAATTTTTAAAATTATGATATAAATAACATAACCTTAAAAACTGAGCTCTAGTTTGTTTGTATTTAACGAAAAGAATAATAAACTGAAATATGGTTCGTACTAGTTATTGTCACTACTACAAAAAACAACCTTTACTAGAACAGGGCACAAAAAAGTTATGGATAAAAATGTTATGCATTAAAATATGAATAAAATTAAAAATTATTTACTTTAGATTGACTCTTTAAGGGCCGATTCCACCGAGATTAAAATGACATTGTTAATGTAAAAATGTCATTTTAAACTTCGTTTAACACAACGGTGGAATCGGTCCTAAGATAATTTAGCTACAGCTGAAACTCTAAATACGATAGGCAGAAGACAATGGCAGTATTTGGCAATTATTGCAGTTTACGTAAACAAATTTAAAACTTACTGGAATTGAACCTGGACAATGGGAAGTAATAAACACATAATTTAAGTTTGTTCTATTATTTATTTGTTACAGGGTTTAAACCATTTACAAAAAACATTGTTATTTATATGCATACAAAAAAATATTAATATTATTAATGTAACAAGCACATATTTGTTTTACGTTAAAGCTCTTACTTCTCACTTTAAATTATAAAGGCATATCTATAAACAACTATTTTATTTAAAAGGTTATTGAGTAGTAATTGGTGGTGCACAAACGATACTAATTCACAGTACCTATCTGTTCAAAATCTTTACCACCAGCTTTAATGCAAGCATTAAACATTCTTTTTTGAACACATTATGCAGTTTCTCTTCAGTTATATTTTGTATATCATTCAATATAGGTGCTCCAATTCATAAAAGTCACAAACGATTTTGTATTGAGCGATCTGTAATATTCCATATGTAGGTTTAACAAAATTAAGGTAAAATTATTGTTGCAGTATCGAAACTTTATAGGGGATGCATTATCAGAATTTTTTTTAACTTTATGGCTAGTTCGTAGTGATAAACCTAAAAAAAAATATGTTTTGAATTTCACTCGCCAGAGTCAGTCTTTAAAACACCGTTCATACCTGTTTGAGGTGCTGTTTTTTTTACTAATTTATTGGGAATTAACACCATGTTAATTTGCACATCTTCAACAGCTTTTGTTATTACTTTGGGCATTTTAGACCTTTTTCCTTTTTTTGAACAAGTATTTGTTTAAGACGACAAAAAAGAATCACATTCCATTTATTCACCTGGAAAACGTTCCTCAAATTTTCGAATACAATTACGAATATAAAATAATTTTGTTCCAGTATAACATTACCTAAAATAAATTATAGTCATTAACTTTTACGAGTTACAGTAAATAAATTTGTACTTACCAACAAAAAAGAATTAAGCCACCAATATTCTCTAAAAATAACTAATTGCTTTATTAATATTAAATGAAAAATGGACTAAGGGTGTTTATAAAATGTAAACAAATATACTATAAAAATATTGTAAGTCAATGTAAGTCCCCAAATGAACGCCAGTGACATTTCTGACAGGATTGACAGTTCAGTTTAGTTCCTTTTACGTCAAATCAGGCCCTTTCGATGGGTTTTTGATGGTTATCAGATCACGTGGGTTTCGGGTATTGTTGAAGACCTGGTAATACATAATGAGAAAAATGTGTGTGAATTGATCAAAAGCTTTGAAATATATGTATCCATAACTTGTCAAAGGTGGATTTCCCCACGACATGTATACCTCACTAGGCCAATTTTGTATAATTCTAAATTGAGAGACCCATTTTATGTCAGCCTACAGATTTATATAGTTGTCATCGTCGCCAAGCTCTCTCTTATATCGGTTGTTAGCCAAAACTTGCCAAACACAAATCTTCTAATAAATAAGAGCGTCGGGCAATCGTAGAGTATATGCTCGATATACTCATCTTCTTGTTCGCACCCTTTTTGAAATCGTATTCTGACAACCCCATGCTATGCAGTTGCTTGAGCATGTATTAATGACTAGCCTTTGATCGGGCGCAGATTTTGTCTATACTCTGTTTTTAAACTAAGAGGAGCGATTTGAATTTAAGTTGGCAATTCTGTAGCCTTCTGATTGGTCAGATTACAGTCAGTTTCACACATTACTTCTTAGCATGAACATTAGCTAATAATTGATATTGTTGACAGTTCTGACATTTTTTCAGTAAGCAATTAGGCATTCCAAACTGAATGACTACCAGTGGGTTCTGACGGGTTATGATATGGCAAAATTATGGCAACCCTGTAGGCCTGGTGATTTGACAAGGTCAATGAAATAGACAGTTACATAGATTGATCATCCATATTTTTCAAAATAAACATAAGCTTATGCCTTGAAGTAAAAATGTAAGCAATTATTTTTTTTTAAATATCTAAAGGCTAAAAATTGGTTTTAAAACACATTTTTGCTAAACCGATTCAAATTAATAAATATTTGCCAGGCAATATGGCCGCTCGTAAACGACCAGCTTTGAGCAATCTATATAACTATATATGTATCATTGACCCTGTTAATGACAACATGACAACAGGGTTGCCATATCTAAACTGTCATTACCCACTGGTAGCCATTTGGACAGGTCGTTGGAATGCCTAATTGTATTGAAAATCTAAAATTATGGATCCTTCTACACTAAGTACTATTAAAGGTAGCAATTCCTGAAAAGCCTTACAAGAAAGGGAAGACACCTTATTATTTTACATGCTGATTCTGAAGGTTTTGTAGAAAATGCATTATTGGTTTTTGGAGGTAAAAAGATGAGAGATTACCATGAATAGATGAATTCCGAAATATTTTAGATAAAAATAATTTTATTACTGATTTTTTAAAACTAAAAATTGATGAATTTCTAACCAAAATGATTAAAATGTAACTAAATATTCAAGCAAATTTTATTTATTAGAATAGAATAAAACTATTTACAAAATTGTTATAACATTTAAAACACCATCTACTACTTTAATTTGGCACAATGAGTTAACATTATTTTCACAAAAAATATTTTAAAAATACTTAAAATTAATACATAGGTATGTATGAATAGTTCACTTTAAAAAATATATGTTGACATGTAGTGTTATGAAAACGTTGGTTCCAGTTTTCAAAACAAATTCTGACTCATAGGCCTGTAAACTTTTGAATGTCCTTATTTGCCCTCTAGTGCATTAACCATGGGTTAACACTAAATAAGCCATAATATCCACATTACTCATAGAAGAGATACCAGTTACTGTGTGATCCACTTGTCATTCACTGATTAACTTTTACTTTTTATACCTATAGCAAATATATCCCTAAAAATGTAAACAGATCTTTATATTTTATACTAACCTGGCTACATCTGGATATTCCATTAACAATTTTCTTAAATATTTATTATCCATTTTAAAAAGATCATAGTTATTCTCAAAAAGTCGATTTCAAAAGCAAGAAAAAAGTATTTCTGACATCAATCGACAACCATATTGACTTTAATTTGACAGTGACATTTCGTTTTAGACACACATTTCAGATCACAATAATGTGAAATTTGCGACCGTTGTCTGGAACCAATTAAAAAAATACTTCTATGACATTTATTCGTTTCTTAACCGCTCATTGGCCGTTCACCGACTAAGGCCGATAAAGATAATTATTTCATAAATTTTGAACACGACTATATTTCGAAACTCGCTCTTAGTAACAAATCTAGTTACTTTTCCCTGTGTAAATGCGTCTTTTCAATTCGCTCCTCCTAGTTTAAAAACAGAGTATAGTAATATTCAAGTATTTGTTTGCTGTGATATTGTCAGGGCAACTTAAAGCTCCCTACAACGCTGCAGCTTTTCGTTTCATCCAACCTTTTCTTAGTGGTAATTCTATAACGAATATGTTAAAATTTAACGGACGTTAAAAATATAACGTATGTTAAATATGAAAAGCAATTCTGTAAATTCATGAAAAATTTTAACTCTTCATAATTAACATAATAGTTCATTTGTGCCGCAAAAATCTATTATATAAGCAGAAATATGTTAAAAATCTAACATAAATGTGTTAATTTTATGCGTTAAATCGAGGATATTAACAGGTACTAATTAGTAGGCTTTAAAACTAAACATATAAGAAATTATAACTTTTGAAGGTTTAATTCAACTTATAATGCAAGAAATTCATGAAAATGGACCATTCTGGACCATTTAGAAATTATATTTTATTCATAGTGTATATAAACTTTTTGTAGTTAGTAATTGATTTGCGGTAGAAGGGCACTATTATAAGATTACTGGGGTTAGTTTCGTTTTTATTGAATATTGATGATCTACCAAATAGTTTATAAAGTACATTCGGCCGCTACTCAATATTCTTGTGCAGAACCAGACTGATACAATATAAATATGACAAAAGGAATGACATTTATTGGACAGACCTTAAAACTTAACCATACTTTTATTGCAAATTTGAACTACTTTTAACGTATGCGTTAATTTTATTTTTACAGAATAACAATTTGTGTTAAAATCGTAAAATTTAACACCCGTTAAAAATAAACGTATTGAATTACAGAATTACCACTCTTGAATTTTACAAGGGAATGTACTTTAATTTGGATGTCAGTCCAATAGAAGGTCCAAAAAGTATTTGATTGGCTGCCTTCTTGGCTAGCATGGAGGTAGAAGCTTAAACTAATAGGTTATAAAGAGAGGACTCATAACGTCGCTGAA